GTGTGGGCAGTGTGGGCAGTGTGGGCAGTGTGGGCAGCTGGCGCGCGCCTCGCGAGGCGTCTGCAAACGGAAGTGTTTCCCGCTGCAGCTGGGGAGGAGTTTGAAGTGCGCCTGTGGTGAGGGCTTCATGTCCACGCGTCTGTGTTACTATCAAAGACAAGCCAGGGAGTCGACTAGTATGTCGTGTATTTTGCTCACTTCATACATTGCTGCCCAGCTCCGTTTGTTTAGTTCTGTGTCGTTTCACACGCATGTGTCGCGTGCTTTAAGAAAGCCCTTTGATGCGCTCTTAAGGTTGCTGTTTTGAAAGAGGCAAAATTTGCTTTTGGCAGATCTGTGAAAGGAAAGGGATGGGAGTGGGGGTGACGTTTTCTTGCCACGGTACCCTTGTATAGTCAAAGCTGGTCTTGTTTTAACCAGCCACAAGGGCTTTACTAGTTCAGTTTTTGTTAGACTCCCTCGTGTCTGAAGTAGAAAAAAATCTGTGAAAGAGTAAGTTTGAATCAGGCGGTTAAATTGGGTAAACAAGGGCTGGGTTTGGCTTGGTTCACAAACGTATTCACATGAGGACATTTGCTGATGGATTATTTTGTTGATGAAATACTCCAGTCATGCCCTTATGTTATGTCTTTAATCCGTTATTTTCATCTTTAAATAAGATGAATAAATAAATGAAGGAATTTACAACTAATTACATTTTTAGGTCTAAAATAGATGAGAAAGCGGATCAGTCTAGGCAGGGCTTCTAAGATTTCTCTCAACACTGTAAAAAATCTTCTCAGTATCAATATCCACCCATCCATTTTCAACCGATTTATCCCATTCAGGATCAGAGGGGCCTATCCCAGAGCCTGGCACAAGTCAGAATAGACCCTGGACCGGACAGTCCATCGCAGGGCACACACACACACAGACACAGACACAGACACACACTCACACCAGGGTCAGGTCTTCCACAAGGCAATTGACCGACCAGTACAGCTTTGGACTTGGGAGGAAACCCAGGTGAATACCGGGAGAACATGCAAACTCCACCAAGAGAGCACTCCAGGAGCTGAACCCAGGGCCCCAGCGCTGCGGACCACTGCGTCACTGTGCCGCCCATTCATAGAAGCAGTGTGTATCTCTGCATGTTTGTTTCTAGCCTTGACGTTGCCCATTGTTATGTCTGTTGAAAGGAGCACCATTCTCTTTCCAGGTTAAACCAGGAAGAGGTGTCAATAACAGAACAGGTTGACATGGTTTCACCACCATCGTATCACAGGTGTCAAATCTCAGTCACACCGCTGTGTCCGTTTCACCTTATTTGTTATTCAAACTAAGGGTTGCCGGATGACACTACCAGAACCTGCTGAACTTGCCTTTCATTCCCGCAGTTCCTCAAAAGCCTTGTTTTGAGTTTAAGAGTTGTGTTTTTGTTCTTGTATGGTTGGGTTATTGTTTCTGGGTTTGTTTTTTTTATTGTTCACTGGTTTAACCAATTCTTCCCATAGAATTTCCCAGTCTGTCAAGTGTTTTCCCGATAAAACCGATGCATACATGGAATTTTATCATGGAATCTAAACCATTTTATAATGTAAACCCCCAAAATGTGAAGGCCCCTCATAATCTGTTGCCTTTTTTCTCCATCCCTCTTCCCCCCTCACTTATTCTGCCCCTGTCTCCCTGGTGCCCCCCCTCCGGGAGCAGACCGTGGTGACGGTGCCCCTCAGGACGCAGTCCGGCAGCAGTCCAGTGCAGGTGCAGGCGTCCCGCGGCCAGGCTGGCCTCACCGTCGCTGGACTGGCTTCTGCCGTCACAGTGGCCAAGCCCCCGGCGGGGGGTCCCCCGGGGAGCCCTGCTGCCTCAGCCCCCGCGGCCACCACGCTGCTGCAGAGCGTCACCGGGCAGAACATCATCAAGCAGGTGGGCAGCGGCGCGTCGCTCCCCCGCGGGGTCGTGCCGTCGTTTAGTCGGCGTCGCTTTGCGTTGCTGCGCCCGTCCTGACGACTCGGAGCGAGTGGAATCTGCTGCTTGGCTCTGCAGGGGGAGCTCTTCCTCTGAAGCACTCTTCCTGTCTGTCCCCCCTCCCCGTCTCTCTGCCGCGGCTCACAGGTGGCGATCACAGGGCAGCTGGGCATGAAGTCCCAGCCCGGCGCCGGCATCCCGCTGACGGCCACCAACCTGCGCATCCAGGGCAAGGACGTGCTGCGGCTGCCCCCCTCCTCCATCACCACGGACGCCAAGGGCCAGACGGTGCTGCGCATCACGCCGGACATGATGGCCACCCTCACCAAGTCCCCCATGGCCACCGTCAAGCTCACGCCCGACGTGCTGAACGCGGCCGCGGCCGGGGGCAAGAGCATCTCTGCCACGCTGCACGTCACGCCCTCGCCCGCCTCCTCCTCCGCCGCCTCCTCCTCCTCCGCAGACTCGCCAGCCATCAAGACCTGCAGCGCCCCCACCATGGCCGCGGGCGGCGCCACCACCCTGGTGAAAATGCACCAGGAGATCAAAGCCGCCGGAGACACGGCCATCCGGCTGATGCCCGCGCTGGCCGTCAGCATGGCGGAGCAGAAGGCCAAGAGCCTGTCGGCCATCTCCTCCTCGGACTCCAAGCCGGCCGCCACGATCCGCATCATGCCCGGCCTGGGCGTCATCCCGCAGAAGCCCGGCCAGGCCATCGCCGTCGCCACCTCCGCCGCCGGCGCCAAGCCCACACCGGCCGTCTCCTCGGGCGCCGCCACCGTCACCATCGCCACCGGGGGCGTGGCGGGGGCCAAGGGGGTGACCGTGGGCTCGGCCGTGACGGGCGCGCCCCTGTCCCTGGGCACGGGGACGGCCACTGTCCGCCAGGTGCCCGTCAGCGCCACCGTGGTGTCCAGCACGCAGCCGGTAAGACCCTCCCCGGTGAGAGCACGGCTCTCCCTGCTGTTCGCCCTGGGGCGGCTCCACGCTGCCTCCTTCATTCAGCAGGTGAAGCGGTGTCTGTCTCCTGGCCAGGTCGAGCTGCGCCTCGGGGGCGCAGAGCCTGGGGAGAGGGGTGAGGGGAGGCCTTACTGATGTCTGATTTTAAGGTGACCTCACTTTTAACGGGATCCTAACGTCCGCCTTCGTTTAAGTGCCTCCCCTCCGTGTCACTGAGCAGTGTTGCAGAGCCACCCCATGGGCTCCTGAAGGCTGCTCACCAAGGTGTTTCGTGACTTTCCGTCTCTCCGTCTCTCAGGGGAAGCTGCCGGCTCGCATCACCGTCCCGCTGTCCGTCCTGAGTCAGCCGCGCAAGAGCATGGTGACCGCGCCCATCCTGAAGGGGAGCATCGGCACCAAGTCAGTCCCGCGCCGCCGCCGGGGCCCGCTCGCTGCCCCTCCTCACAGCCCGGCGTGCCCTCTGCCTGTCATCTCGGCCTTCTGGCCATCCCGGGCTGCGCCATCGAAGCCTCTGGGCGTCGGGCCTGCTGCCTGGCTGCCAGGGTCTGGGTGGAGCAGAGAGCTCGAGAGAGCCCACATGCCCACTCTGCGCCTGGACAGCTCCAGGCTAGGCTGTTGTAGAGCTGTCACAGTAGATCTGGTCAGCAGGCCTGAGGCGTGAACAGAGGGAGAGTAAGGGCGCGGGCACGGGAGTCGCATCAGTTCCAGTAAAGCGCGGGTGTCCAGTCACTGGGGCGGTATGGCGCCACTGAACATGGGACAGGGGCTTTCTTGCTTTGCATTCATGACCGTCCTCCTCGTGTTTGTAAATCCAGCTATTAGTGTGCGCGCTGTACCGATGCGTCTGAAGGATTCTGGGGGGGGGGTGTCTGTCCATGTGTGTCCCTCTCGCCGCTGACGGCCGTCCTGTTGTCCGCAGCATCAGCGGCCTGGGCCGGAACATCATCCTGACCACCATGCCCGCGGGGACCAAGCTGATCGCGGGGAACAAGCCCGTCAGCTTCGTCACGGCGCAGCAGCTCCAGCAGCTGCAGCAGCAGGGCCAGGCCGCCCAGGTCAGCCCCCGAGCCGCCGCTTGTTCCTCATCGCTGAGGTCCCAGAGCCCGCCGGCCTGCCGCCAGACTGCGCCGCAGTGGGGCATCGTGGGGCAGCGCCACAGGGGAGACGCCTCACTGCTTGGCGCAACAAGTAGGAACGAGCTGTCTGGAGAGTCGTCGCGTTTTGCCTCGACCCTCTGATGTCATGTTGACCGGCTCTGCTAGACATTTTGTTCAGTAGTGTAGTGGACTGTTCGTTTTACATGTCCCGTTCGGTGCTCATGTCGGAGTACGGTCCCTCTGGGTCTCGGTCCGTCAGCCTCAGGCCCGGCTCAGCCCGTGCTCTTTGCTTGCTCTCTCCCGTCAGGTCCGGATCCAGACGGTGCCGGCCCAGCAGCTGCAGCAGCGCACCGCCGCCGGCTCGCCCAAGCCCGTCTCCACCGTCGTGGTGACATCCGCCCCCTCCCCGAAGCCGACGCCCGACCCCCAGTGACCCCGGCCGGCCTCCCCAGGCAGGGCCCGAGCGGAGTCCAGGTTCCGACTCGCATGGAGCAGCTGCTTCGCTGTTTCCTCCGAAGCGCAGGAAAGAAAGACCCTCTCCTCCGGATCTGTGTCCTCCCCAGCCTGGACAGTGCGATGATGTTCCTGGGACTCTGTCGATTCGCCGTGCCAGGGGCCTGCTCCATTTCATGAGGAAGCCGTCAGCCTGAACTAGCAGCTTGAACTAGGGAGTGCCGAGTAGCCAAGCCCTTGGGACGTGTGAACTTGTTTAGTTTTCTCTCTGGTTTCAGTCGTGAGAACCACGTTTTGAAGAGCAGCTTAAGAGAATCAGGATCGACAAGGCTCGTGTTTTAGCTTATTTAGATGTTGCAGTTGTGCAAAACCGGGTTGACGCAGGGGGAAAGCGTCTGCAGGGGTGATTGCAAGCCATTCGTTCAGCTCACACAGGAGCCTGCAGCTTGAAAGTCCTGAAATGGACCAAAATGCTGTGCAATGGGAGACCTATTTGTAGATCCTTTTGCATTATCCTGTGAGTTGATTACTCCTCATTTAGCAACTGAACACAAGGATTTTTGTATCACAAAGATGCAAAACTTTTTTTTAACCTAAGACTCATCTCAAATTGTTTCTTTGCAAGCATGTAGGTAGCTGCCTCATTTTTTCCCTGTTTGTGTTGTTTTTTGAAAGTTTATGAACAGAAAGTAAATTGGTTCTCTGTCTTTTTTCTGTCCATTTTTTTTTTACTACAGCTTCCGTGTCCAGGGATGGAAAATGTGCCGTTTCCTCCCTGGTGTGCTGAGCTAGAGAGGGCTTTGTGACTGTTTGCTTGTGTTTCGACAGCTGATTTTCAGTTGTGCATGTTTCTGTGTGGAAAGAGTAGCGTCCTGGCTAGATGTTGTTGGGTCCTCGCCCAAAGGCTTTGTGTTGAACAGACTGTACTGATGGGCATCGCCTGTTGCTATTGCAGTAAAGAATGTACCTGTAACTGTGCACCGCATTGCTCGCTGTGACATTAGAAGCATTGGCAAAATAAAATGAGCACTTGTGACATGTACGTGAGTTTGGTCCTAAAATGTTGGGTGTTTGTCAGGTTGTGTTAATTGGGCACCCCCCAGTTTCGGTATCGTCACTCTGCTTGTGGTTGATCTAACTGTACGTGATACTGCGTGAAGTCTCGCTGTAACAAAGTTACTTTCTAATACCTGACCTCCACATCTTAATGTCCTGCATGTGAGGAATACGAGTTCTGTCAGATTTCTGTGTGGTTCAGAATAAAGATAATTATGCACCGAGCCCACCTAGAAAGCAAATGGTTCTGCTGTATTGCAAAGACAACACAGTTGTTACTATGTATGGACTCTGCATCACAGTTATTGATCAGAGAAGATCAATATTGTTAGTGGTTAGTTAAGTATTGTACATATGCCTGATATCACATCAGAGTTAGGAGACGGACACTAGTGCCCAGAGCCTCACTGTCGGGACACATGATGGCTCTCTGCCCAGTGGCTAGTGTACCTCCTAGCTCTCCTCCTCTGTGCACGCAGGGATGCAGTCACAGCCC